TCGACCTGGAAGTATTTATTTAGCGATCGGAGCTAAAACGTCATCTGTATGGAACATCGTTGTGTACGGAACATGGTTAGTCTACGTTACCCGAAAAATTCCCATACGACAGATTTCGTCTTTTTCGACGGGGGAAAAAGTTCCAGGGATTCATCTCCTTCGGCCATCCCACACACAGGTGACTCTCACTGACTGCTCGCACCAACCGGAGGGGCTGAGGGGGAGGGGTCGTGTGACTCGTTATGCTCTTCGCTGCACACAACTGAGGGAATCCTGCACTTTCCATCTTTGACGATATGTAAAAAAAACTGTGCATACCGTAGGAACGGTATAACGGGAAATTTTAGTGGTTTTGAAACCGTGACTTTTCCAAACCGCGGTATACCCTGAAACTGGTTATCGTCCCATGCCTAGTGTCTGCTTTGGGGGGCTGGAAAGAAGGGGGATGGGATTGTTACAAAAAGTTTCACTGAAGGATATTTGGATTTGCCTCGCATGCCAAGTCGACGTGCCTTCATGTTGGGAAAGACGTTCTTCATGATCTTTCCAAAGTCTGCTGCACTGAGAGCGTGATACCCCAGGCTATCACAGTGACTCCTGTGAAGCACACGTTTCAAAAAATCAATTACAATTGGCAGAGACCACAAACAATCTCAAGCTCTGTGTAAAACAACTTGTCAAAGTACATTATACATACAGTGCTGCTTGAAAGTTTGTGAACCCTTTACAATTTTCTATATTTCTGCATAAATATGACCCAATTCATCATCAGATTTTGTCTTGAAAGAAGACAAAACGAACACAATCAAACAAATGAGATATTTTACAAAAATATTTTCCTTGTCATTTATTTCTTGAGAAAAATTACCCAGTGTTACATTTCTGTGCGGTGCAAAAGTATGTGAATCTCTATGATTAACTGTTAATTTGCGGGTGAAATTAGAGTCCATCTGTTCAGAGCTGTTTTCAAACAGTGGAATGATTATCAGGTGTCATTGCCTGCCCTTGTCAAAGTACATTATACATACAGTGCTGCTTGAAAGTTTGTGAACCCTTTACAATTTTCTATATTTCTGCATAAATATGACCCAATTCATCATCAGATTTTGTCTTGAAAGTAGACAAAACGAACACAATCAAACAAATGAGATATTTTACAAAAATATTTTCCTTGTCATTTATTTATTGAGAAAAATTACCCAGTGTTACATTTCTGTGCGGTGCAAAAGTATGTGAATCTCTATGATTAACTGTTAATTTGCGGGTGAAATTAGAGTCCATCTGTTCAGAGCTGTTTTCAAACAGTGGAATGATTATCAGGTGTCATTGCCTGCCTTGTTTTATTTAGAGAACAGGGATCTATCAAAGTCTGATCATGTTTGCAGAAGTGTATCATGGCACAAACAACGGAGATCTTCAGAAAAAGAGTTGCTGTTGCTCATCAGGCTGGAAAGGTTTACAAAAACATCTCTAAAGAGTTTGGACTCCACCAATCCACAGTCAGACAGATTGTGTAGAAATGGAGGAGATTCAAGACCACTGTTACCCTCCCCAGGAGTACTCCACCAACAAAGAACACTCTAAAAGCAAGACTTGTAATAGTCTGCGAGGTTGCAAAGGAACCAAGGGCAACTTCTAAGCAACAAAAGGCCTTTCTCACATTGGCTAATGTTAATGTTCATGAGTCCACCATCAGGAGAACACTGAGCAACCATGGTGTGCATGGCAGAGTTGCAAGGAGAAAGCCACTGCTCTCCAAAAAGAAAATCACTGCCCGTCTGCAGCTTGCTAAAGATCATGTGGACAAGCCAAAGGACTATTGGAGAAATGTTTTGTGGACAGATGAGACCAAATTATATAATTTTTTTGTTTATATGAGAAGTGTTCTGTTTGGAGAAAAGAACACACTGCATTCCAGCATAAGAACCTCATCCCATCTGTGAAACATGGTGGTGGTAGTATCGTGGTTTGGGCCTGTTTTGCTGTATCTGGGCCAGTACGACTTACCATCATTGATGGAACAATGAATTCTGAGTTATACCAGCAAATTCTAAAGGAAAATGTCAGGACATCTGTCCGAGAACGGAGTCTCAAGAGAAACTGGGACATGCAGCAAGACAATGACCCCAAGCACACAAGTCATTTTACCAAAGGATGGTTAAAGAAGGACAAAGTGAATGTTTTGGAATGACTGAGTCGGAGTCTGGACTAGGGCTGTGCGATTAATCGAAATCGAATTGCAATCGCGATTAGAGACGTTGCGATTTGCTAATCGCAAAGCCTGCGATGTGGACGCGATATTACTCTGTTCCAGAGCATATGCATGACTGCCAGCCTTGAGTTGCAGTCTTACTAACCAATAGAGTGAGTGCACCTCCGTTCTCCCCAATCAGCACTGCTCTAGTCAACTGCGTAAACGCCCACCATAAAAAAAAAAAAAAAAAACGAAAGCCGGAGAGAGACAGAGTGGGATTATGGCGTCTACAGGGTCAGATCGATAGTTAGGCAAATTAAAACTAAAGAAAAACGTATGCAAATTAAGCTTCGAAACAACGAACAAAAGAGGTAATTTGCAGGAGCTACGTCACAGCGCATATCAAAAGCTCCCTTATCGGTTCTGTTTTCAGTACTGGAGAATAAAAGATACATTCTTAGATGTTTTTGTTGGTACATGAACGTTATCTTACACATTTTATCTCCCCAACAGATTAATTTGAAATAAGTTTATAATGCATGTTGGCTATTCCCAATTTAGAAGAGCGCACACAGCCTGTGTCTGTGAATGCTTCTCATACTCGCTCCTCTCTGCCCCACGTGGTGCGAATCCCGCGTGATGGACGAGCCGTTCATGCTTGCCGCACTCACGCAGCCTGTCTCGTAATGCTTGTTAATACTCGCGCCTGGCTCTGCGTTTAAAACGAATGTAAATTCAGTCTAACTGCTTGCTAATTTCACTTGGATGAAATGAAACATTCAGCACATTTTCCACTTGTTCTTAAAATCCCAAATACTTAAAAGGAATAAATCAGCCTATGTAACATATGTAATGCTTTAATAATTGACTTAAGAAATTGTTCTTTATTTATAAAAAATAAACAAATATTTTCTGTGAAATTCAGTAATTAAGTTAATTCTGTAAAAGTAGTTATACCATTATAATCTTGCCTGCTGAAAAAAATAAATAAATAAAAAATAGACCCCCTCCCAAAACACAATAAAAATTTTTAATGGATTTCAGGGTTATAATGGGAATTGTATTGGTTTTAATGTAAACTATAATAGTGTCTATTTGATGGATTCTATTGGTGGGATGTAATCTGGCAGATGGCAACCAATAATAGAACAACAGTAATTCCTATTGGAATAATGCCCCAAACAAAAAGGAATTTTGTAATGGTTTAATGGAAACTATAAGAATTTCTGTGATGGTTTCTATTGTGTTTTTCAGCTGGGTAATGATACTCGTACTGTGCTCCACATTATTGACAATACTGAGCTGAAGCTTGACTTTGCAAATTTAAAATCGCAAATCAAATCGCAATCGCAATATCTGTCAAAAAATAAATAAATTCGCAATTCGATATTTTCCCCCAAATCGCACAGCCGTAGTCTGGACCTTAATTCAATTGAAATGTTGTGGTATGAGCTGAAGCAAGCAGTTCATAGGAGGAAACCCATAACATCACAGAGTTGAAGTGGTTATGTACTGAGGAATGAGCTAAAACTAATACAAGATGTTTTGCAGGACTGATCAGCAGTTACAAGAAACATTACCTGCAGTTACTGCTGCAAAATTGGGTCACACCAGATACTGAAAGCAAAGATTCACATACTTTTGCATCGCACAGATATGTAACAATGGATCATTTTTATGAACATATATGAACATATCAAGAACATATTTATGTCTCACTCGTTTGTTTGGGTTCTCTTTGTCTACTTTCTTGTGGGACTTGTGTGAAGTTGTGATTATGTTTTGTTTCATATTTATGCAGAAATATAGACAATTCTAAAGGGTTCACAAACTTTCAAGCAGCACTGTATATACATATTCCATCTCTTCAAGATGATTGAGTTTTAAGTGAATGGAGAAAACAAGATGGCACAGGATTCCTAACTTACTTGTACTCGTCGTAGACTTCTTGTTTAGGCAGCGATGTTTCAGGATGCTCTTCAAGGTGGTTGCGAATCCAGCTAAATGCGTGCAACTGCTGGGTACGACTTGATGACATGGAGCTCTGCTCACTGAGTGGAAAGCATTTAACAATACAATTTGAATTAATGTACAGTTGCTAGCCACAGACACTGTTTTGCAGCTGTGTTTCTCCTACCATTAGGAAAATGCAATATGATAAAGATGATAAAAGCATTACTGAAGGGTTGCATTGCCCTGAATTTGCACTTGATTTTGCCTGAATGTAATTTAGCAGAACACAGTAAAGATCACTCACTTTTTCTCATTGCCACTGCTTGGTCCAGAAGGCAGCTTGAGATAGAGGTAGAGTTTTTCAATGTCTGTAAGCTTCTCCACATCTTGCTGCAAGGCAACCGGAACACAGATGATGTGTGCTCAGTGTTAAGAATTTAGAATGTCATGCATGTTTCAAGAATATGAAATTTCAAGCATCTACTGTCATCACTGTCAAACTTAGAAGTGTAAGAAAGTAAGATAAATCATGAAACAAAAGTGATATGACAGCATTTTACTTCCTGGTCAGTGGTCACGCTGAAAACAAGCTTTCAGCTACAGTGAAAAACTGTCTTTAGAAGCACATAAAGTTCTGCAGCAAAATGAACAAATTCACAATTTTATGTATTTACTCCTAAACTATATTTTAGAAAAAATGTAAAAGTTTAACTGTGTACAGGTTTAATCAGACTAAATAATAATTAAAAAATCAATCATAATATGCACTACTCTTCAAACATTTAGGGTCTGTACGATTTTTGGCCATTTTTCCATGTTTTTGAAAGAGGTCTATTATGTTCAGTAAAAAATATAGCAAAAACTGTAATATTGTGAAATATTTTTAGAATTTAAAATGAATGTTTTCTTTTTTAATTCATTTTAAATTGTAATGTATTCCTGTGATGGCAAAGCTGCATTTTCAGCAGTCATTAATCCAGTCTTCAGTGTCACATGACCCTTCAGAAATCATTCTAATATGCTGACTTGGTGCTCAAGAAACATTTCTTCTTATTATAAATGTTGAAAACAGTTGTGATGCTTAATATTTTTGTGGAAACTGTGATGCATTTTTTAGGATTCTTTGATGAATAGAAAGCTCACAAGAACAGCATTTGTTTTGAATATAATGTCACACATTTAATGCCACTTTTGATCAATTGATCAACAGTAGAATATGCACGTGGTCAATGTGTCAACGGTATGAAATCAAGAGACTTCATTACTGTCTAGGTGAAAATGACAGATGTTTGAAGGGCATCAGAGTCAGTGTTTTATAACCTACCAAGTGAACCTACCAGCTACCCAACAATAAAGCAATAAACAAATACAAATGAACTCCCTTTCCCTTTCTACAATAAAGACCTTATTCTGATCTTCAAGTCTCTTTATTTCTCTTTCAGCTCTTGTTAAGTGTGCGAGAGCACTGAACAGCTCTTCAAAGAGAATGTGTAAGATGTTTGGGTGGGGCAGAGCTGATTTAAATTCTGCCCGAGTAGAGAGCAGCAGACACGAGTCTCTCCCTCCAGGCGCTGCTTTCCATCTTCACTTACCCGCTCTTTCTCACTCGCAAACATACACTTAAACCCCCAAACATTCCCCTTTTCTAAAGCACTGAAAACATAAATTGGATAGAAATATGAAAGTGATTTTTGACAGGTTTTCTGCACCTGGTAACGATCATGAAACTACATGCAATATTAAAACTCGGAGGCATTTATTCAGCAAGCTGGGCTGAGACCTGCAGAGCTGTGAGCAGCAAATGAAAATAAACAGACTTCAACAGGATTGTGCGGCATAACCCTAAACAGGAAGTCATCCAAGGTAAAAAATAATCCTGAAGAATACCTAATCCCTCAGCGATCAGAGCAGTCGGTTAAGCCAGCATAAACAAGCCTTTGTTTTCATGGTGTCTGCCTGTGGGAGTAATGGAAGTGGGGATCTTCAAAAGTCCCACAACACAACTACACCAACAATTAGTCCACATTATCTCCTTGGGGTAAGGGCCATGTCAAAATAAACAATACCAACACACAGAGTTTATGAAACTTGGGGAAAGACTGCCAGGAAATGCACCTGTCACCTTAACATCTCTTCATCAGTGATGGCATCATTCTCCTGCCCTCCCCTTTCCACCGAATTCTAAGAATAGTTGTGTCTCTTTCTGTCTTTTCTATTCCTCTCTTCGTTGCTAAGGGAAAGATGGCTAGCAAATAGCTAAAGTTATCAACCACTGAGCGCCATTAGCATTAACACTGGAGAGGGGTAAGAAAGGTATGTAAAAATGGCATGAGAATCCAGACGTCTCGGAGCCAAGTGAACAACCCTATTTAGGAGAGGACTTGGGTGACTTAAGGATGGACAAAAATAAGCATGTGGAAAACAAAAACATTAACACATACGCTACTGTTCAAAAGTTGGGGTCGGTAAACATTTAAAAAAAAAAAGTTTTTAATTATCAAAAAACAAAAACTGTTGAAAACAGTTGTGGTAAAGTATGATAAATACTTGATATTTCTGTGAAAACTGTGATATAGCCTATTTCTTTTTTTAAAGGATTCTTTGATGAATAAAAAAATGTATAAGAACAGAATGTATTTGAGATGTAAAACTTTTGTAACATTATAAATGCCTTTTCTGACACATCTGATCCATTTAATGCTGAATAAAAGTATTCATTTCCTTTTATAAAAATGATTTTACTGACCCCAAACTTTTGAACAGTAGTATACAAGCCAAACTGGACATTTGGACAAAACATATTTATGGACATGAGATGCCTGTAGAGACTAAAATAAGGTCTCTTGGACATCTGAATTATATACAAATTGATTTTGGAACAGCTTTTTTAAAACATGTTTTCAACCTGCAATTTATTCATTAGTCTCAACAATGAGAAGAAGACATTCAATCAGGTCATGACAATGCTCGGAAGAACCTGTAGCTCATCATCACTCAGCTCATTCATACTTCATTCGTAGTGTGCAGACCCCTTACTCAGCACTACAGAGCCTACTAGACATGCTTGAATAACTCATGCTTTGTACAGATGGACTGAACCCAGTTCTTACTGACAAACCTACAGAATTTTCACAAGCAAATTCTTCCAAGCCTGGATGCTGGAACAATTCAATACTGGCACAAAGTGATGATTCAGTAACAGTCAGGCGCTCAAACCCTGAATGAACAGTGAGTGAATATAATGAACTGAATTATTGTTTTGTATCTCCAGCATTTTACATTAACTGCTTAAAGGCATAGTTCACCCAAAAATTATTCAGCATCATTTAACCCCCCTCAGGTTGTTCCAAACCTGTATAACTTTGTCTAATGTGGAACAGAAAAGAAGATAAACGTTCATTCTTGGGTCAACTATCCCGTTTAAATATTAACCAGTAAAATAAATCAGACCTGTAACCTTGTTTGTTACAAACAAAGCTTAAACACACACAAAAAAATCTATTTATACCCTGCTAGAGTTAAATGTTAATTTAATTAAATCAGGCATTGTTTGTTCTGAATTTCTCTTTTACAAGGTTGCCAAAAATTGGCAGAAAAACTGAAATATTATGACACAGAATGTTGAAAATTTTGAAGCACTACAGTTTTTTTTGAGCGACATGGTTAGCAAGATGTAAATGTGAGGTAATAAGTGTTCAAAAGCAAGGCTTTGTGGGATACTACTATGGAATGAAAGTTTCATGCGAGGAGGCTGATGCAAGACTCAGCGAGAGCTGGCAACATCCTGCAGAGGTCAACAGGGGCAGGCTAGAGGAGGAGGGACGGGAGAGGACAGACGAGGTGAGCAGCGGACACAGGGCACACCGCCTAATATCTGGAGAGGATTTCGTGTTTCTCTTTACCTTGAGGGGCCATTAACAAACCACTGTCACCTTCTTTTCCCCTCACACATCACCCCACATTACTCAAAACCTTATTGGCTGCAGCCCTACATCACCTGAAGAGAACCTCCTCAACTATGCACAAATTGTTCACAAATTACAAACATCAGCACTGACAAACCCAATGCTTTATGCAGCCCTCACTCCAATATATGATAACCAAAGTCTGCTTCACACTAGTTATTTTACTTTGCTAACAATTATATTACAATAAACTGCTCTTATGCTCACCAAGGCTGGATTTATTTGCTCAAAATCCAGTAAAACATTCTGAAATATTATTACAATTTAAAATAACGGTATTCTATTTGAATACTTTTTCTAAAATGTATTCTTGTGATGGTAAAGATGAATTTTCAGCAGCCGTTACTCCTTGGTGCTCAAGACACATTTCTTATTATTGTCAATGTTGAAAACATTCACTAATGTGGAAACTTAACTGTAGAGATTCTACCGTACTTGATCTCCCCACTATAAACAATGCAGGGTATGTCGCATGCAGCGAACAATGACATTTACTTTTCAAAGCCCACTGTTACAAAAGTCCCGAAGGTGTGAGGATGTATGTGAGCTTGGACGTGGCCAGAAAGAATAATAAGATGGGCGCACAATAACACTGCTTCCGTTCTGGACTCGGCCTTGCGATCTTTATGTGTCTCTGTCTCACAGTTTTCTTGATACTTTGGATTAGTTTCCTGTAATAGGCGGTGTCAACCAATACAGATGAATGACCTCTCTCTGGGCATTCCACAAGATGGCATACATATAACCATGGGCGACATTAGGGGGGAGGCAACTGCCCCCCCCAAATTGTTAGTCATGGAATCCCTGATGTCGGCCCGCTACAATTGGAGAGCTTAGCCAAGCACTAAATACCCTCAACGTGTTTTTGCAGCGTTGAGCATTGTAACCAATCACAGACATATCTGTTGATGTCTTAAACGCAAAGGCCAGTCAGAAACTTTTTGTCAGAATTCCCTCACCGCTGAAAGCACCGCAGTTTTTAAGTGCAGTTTTGCACGCTCCTGAATCATCTCATGACTAAGTGCAGACGCGATGTAAATAAGAGATTAATTGTGCAGTTTAGAGAGCTTCATTGATTATAACGGAACTTTGTAAGAGTGTGATGAACGAAGATGAGTGACGCTTTTTAGTGATAAAGGGAGCGCGCTTTGTGCACTTTCTAGGGTATAATAATTCTGGAACTGGTCCTGGCCAAACCTCCTCAGAAATCTAATTCACAGACCAAAAGTGTGTGTAAACTTTATTGAGATCGGGACATATCAACCAGTAATTTCATTTAATTTCCAGTAACGGACGGTAGAAAGTTCAGCAATGAATGGTATGCGATTTATGACAGGATATAGTCCCACAACTAGGGTTGGGTACTGAAACCTGGTACCAATATGGCACCGGTACCTATGTAACCGGTATGTACTAGAACCGAATCAGAATGCAGATTTCGGTGCCATGCCTGAGCGATCGATTGAAATATTTGTCCTCTGGTTCTCCGTAACGGACGAAAGAAGCATCATCACCGGCAATAGGGGTGCTCCAATCAGGATTTTTGAGGCCGATCACCGAAAGCATTATCTGCCAATACCGATCACCGATATCAATCTTTTTAAAGCCTTCTTTTTATCATTTATAACTATTTATAGTGATACTCCAATCAGGATTTTTAGACATTTATTCAGGCCTGAATTTCGTTTTTGAAAATGGGGGGGAATTCCCCTCTTAGGTGACTCATGTCAGAGGGGAAGCAGCACGGACTGTGCTTTCACACAAGAGTCCGCTACTGATCCATGGCTGTTTACCACAAACACAACATTTATCCATTATTTTGATTTCAAATCCAAACATTGTCACTGAAAATGCTTTTTCAGCACTGCAATTCTTTTTTTTACACAGTACAGTAATACAATCTTTCACAGACATGTTTAAACACAATAAATATAAGCAACACATTATTCAATGCTTTTTACTTTTGCATTTACTTCTAGATTTATATATTAAGTTGCTCAAGCAAGTGGCAAAACATTTAAACTACTTTTCTTACGTTATCACAAACTTATCATTGACAGAATTAGTCAGCTCTACTGCCTTTCCTTTTGCATTGAAATCTTTATTACAAGCAACCCTGCGGTTCATAAAGAACTTTGTCTTCCTACCTCCACAAGTGCCATCTATTATTGCCTTGTTTATCTAAAAGTGCTCTTTTCCTTTAAACCTAGCCAAAAAGCCATATGTGTTGACTGTGAAACACAGTAGACTTTAATAATATGCATTTATGGTGTAATTACTACATTTTCCTGTTTGGTTTCCTGAATGGTTAAACACTGGCAAGAATTAAAAAGTAATGCAATTTATAAATTTTACGATGAACGATTTCGTGATGATGTGACACTGCCTCGATTGTGCAAGTGACAATTCCTGTGTCAACTGTGCAGCTCGCTTATAGATAGACGCGATGTGGTGATTTGAAGACATTTGCGAATATTGAGAGAGAGCGCGCGCGGTGATTCACTCACGCTGTTTGTGAAATTACGTCTCACACAAGGTTTTCAAACTACTTTGCAAGTTATTTAATTAAGAAATATGAAGGTGAGTACCTCACCTTCAGCATTATAATGATTCCACCCATGCCGGACAGAGACTGAGACGGTGCCACTGCATGTTGTGCCAAACCTCTCACGGCAGGCATCAGCTTGAGATAATTTTTTTTAGATCTGCCTTTTTAGAGATCGCTGATCAATCATCCCAAAGCGATTATCAGTCGATCAATCAGAGCACCCCCAACCGCACGTGAAAAATAATTTCCCGACTGAGAAAATGGACGTGAACTCAAGTTGGAAAGCTCTAAAAATAAAAATCCAATAAATCTTTGTAGTAACGAGAGTGTCCATGTTGTTTTCACATTCCGACTTAAAAGCACAACTCAATACAAACACAACTCACAACACAAATGAGAGCATCCAAGGAGCACGTGAAAGCAGTAATTACACTTGCTCTGATGGTAGCAGCTTCCATTAACTAAGCTAAACATGCTTAAAGAGCAGGTCATATGATATTTTAAAGTGTCCTAATATTGTGTCTGAGTCCCCTACAACAGGTTTAAATGCATCGAAGGTCAGAAAACAATGTAATTTTCTCAGAATATACATTTAATATTAGAGTAATATGCCAATTTCGAAATGATTCGTTCAAAGCAAGTTCGGAGCAAACCCCTCCCTTCCATAAGCCTACACTGCTCTGATTGGACAGCTGGCCAAGCCTGTTGTGATTGGAACAGAGAGGAGTCCTTGAGCAGTTAGCGATATTTTAAAGTGTCCTAATATTGTGTCAGAGTCACCTACAATAGGTTTAAATGCATCTAATGTCAGAAAACATTGTAATTTTCTCAGAATATACATTTAATATTGGAGTCATTTGCCAATGATTTCGAAACGATTCGTTCCAAGCAAGCTCGGAGCAAACCCCTCCCTTCCATAAGCCTACACTGCTCTGATTGGACAGCTGGCCAAGCCTGTTGTGATTGGAACAGAGAGGAGTCCTTGAGCAGTTAGCGAGCACTACCATTGACAAAGCACATTTACATAGAACAATAATATAGTGCTCCAATCCGTTCTTATAATAATGTATAAAATACAAACCCCCCCCCCCCCCCCAGCATTATAAGAAAAGGAACAAAAGTCACTGATCTTTAGTAGCCCATTTGGATTTCTTTGTCTCCATAAATGAGGGGACATATTTTGTATTTGATAGCATTTTAGTATTGTAATATTTGATAGCAGAAGCCGTATTTCTCAGTATAATGCCATCATTTGACAGATCTGACTTAAAAACACTTCTCCTCGTATCACTCAACAACCAGCCCTCTTGTAACTTACAACAATACCATTACTATAACTAACCCAACAACACCAATTTTTTTCAGGAGGGAGGGACTGCCTTCACTTTGGGTTTGTGTTTAACACACCTTATGTAATTTATGCGACAGTCTACCTTATTAACAAACAAAATCAAGTATTGTTTAATTTTTACTGTCTGAAGTTATTATTCGATTCACCATGTCTCAAATCAAGTATATTTAAATTAACCAATTAATACAATTTACTATGGTTTAAAGTTTAACATTTTGTGTGTCTATTGTAATGTTTTATAAGAGTTGTAACCATAATATTAGATTATTAGATAAAGCTCAGGTTATTTTTTGTTGATTAATTGTATGATTATTTTTGTTGGTGTTGTATTTTCAGTGAATCAACATGTTTCATCATATTTTTCCATATCAAATACTCACCAAAATGCAATCCACCTTTGATTGTACGGTTTTGCTGCAAAAAAAGAGAAGAGAAAGAATCAGCATGACACAAGAGTAATTTGAGAAACATTCATAAAGCTGGATTTATTAATAAATCAGTGGCATTCAAAACATCTTTCCATCCTCTAACCGTCGTCGGCCCTGTCCAGCTCAGACCAATATATCCTCAGGAACACATGTGCTCATGCACAAAAAAGTATCTTGCATTAATGTTCCATCACACGGGGGTCTATAAATACATGCTTGAGGAATTCGGCCAATCACAACGCACTGGATAGCTGGCCAATCAGAGCACACCTCACTTTTTCAGACCGATGAGCTTTGTAAAAATCGACTCGTTTCAGAAAGGCGGGGCATAGAGGAGAAACAATAATGTACAGTATGTGGAAAATAATGTGTTTTTTGAACCTTAAACCGCATAAACACATTTCATTACACTAAATACACAAAATAATGTTCTTTTTAGCAGCATCATATGACCCCTTTAAGGGCCCGGAATGAAACTGTATGGAATCTATATACAGGTACAGAACAGTAGAGAGGGTCACATTTGCACTCAGGGTAATGCAAAGACACTTTCCATGTGATGGCTGTAGAATCATTTAAACCTTCATGAACAATCAGTACATCCTGGGTACAGTCACAAGTCAATCTGAATTAAGGGTGAGATTTAATAAAAGACTCCTCAAAATGCTGAAATTTATCTCCTTAATTTCCTTCAACACCACAAGAAATGTCCCATCAGGCCACACAGTGGCTGTACAACATGACTGAGAGCCAAAACCAAAGGTTAGGCCTAACTGGCACAAGGACAACAGAGCCCAGGGCACTTTGAACAACAAATCAGTGTAATTACTGACTGGTTGTTCACATGACTAACTGCAGTTAAACATACAAATATAGCAAAGTAATAAATGTAAAAAATGTTACTTTAATAATGGGTTAAATAAATGCGGGGCATAGAGGACCTACAATAATGTACAGTATTTGAAAAATAATGTGTTTTTTGAACATTAAAGCATGTCAACATATTGTTACACCAAATACACAAAATAATGATCTTTAAAAAAGCATAATATGACCCTTTTAAGTTAAACTGCTTTAAATTACTTTTTTTCCACATCAATCTACACGCCATACACCATAATGACAAAGAAAAACAGACATTCACATAGTTGTCTATAAGTCACTCTTGCTGTGTGCTTAAGTTCATTGTCCTGTTGGAAGGTGAACCTTCTACCCAGTCTGAGGTTCTGAATGCTCTGGACTAGGGCTGAACAATGAATTGCATTTGCGATAATATCGCAATATGAAATAACGCGATTTTTCAATCGCAGAGGCTGCGATTACACGGTCACGTGACACGCGAGAGTAAAGAGGTGTGTTCAACTTGAAGATCAGATCGTGTATGACATCAAAGTACGGCGAGAGAAAGCATAATGAGACGTCCGCGCTCTCTTATAGCTCCCGCAGTACTTTGATGGCATACACCGGAGTGTTGCAGTTATGTTTGTCCTTCTGTAGGTTTCTCCCATCTGCATATATGATCATGGAGCTCAACTAGAGTGACCATCAGCTTCTTGGTCACCAGTCTAGACAAGGCCCTTCTCCATCAATTGCTCGGTTTGGCCAGGAGGCCAGCTCTAGGAAGAGTTCTAGTTGTTTCAAATGTCTTCCATTATGGATAATGAAGGTTACATGATTCTGTTAACCTTCAATGAAGCAGAATTTTTTTCTGAACTCTCCCCCAGATGTGTTTGACGCAAACCTGTTTCTGAGCTCTACAGGCAGTTCTTTTGACGTCAGGGCTTTGTTTTTGCTTTGATATGCATGTTCAGCTGTTAGATCTTTTATTAAGACGTGTGTGTCTTTCCAAATCATACCCGTTTAATTGAATTTGCCACAGGTTAACTTCACTTGAAGTGTACTAACATCTACAAGCAATATGAATTCTCCTGAGCTAAATTTCAGCTGTCCCATGAATACTTATGCAATTTAATTATTTCAGTTTTTGGGGGGGGGGGGGGGAGTAATTGAAAGCAATTTTACATAAGGCAGCAACATAAAATGTGAAAAAAAATGAAGGGTATGAATACTTAGGCACTGTATATATATTAGGGCTGTCATCGTAAACGCATGCGACTAATTTGACAATCCTTAATGCGTTAAAATAATTTTACGCAATTAACGCAAAATTACTGAAGCACAATTTCTATTCTAACCCTTTAACCCAATTTTGCTACTCTGCTTGCGATTAGATCATAGCCTGTATAGCTGATGTGCGCGAGCTGATAAACAAATCACACTGAGTGGATTGAGCGCGCGGCGGCGCAGATGCGTGAGCTTGTCGAGTGAATATACCTTTCTCACAGACATCACTGGAAGGTTTGTAGTTGTTTTGCTTGCTTGAGTGTTTCTGCATTATATGAGTGGCTTTGGAATATAAACCGCAGCTCATTGCAGATGAAAAAACGCAACTTCTATTTCTGAAAATAACACAGTTAGGAGATTTATAACGAGTGGTTCCCTGCATTATTACAGCAAAGCGCGTGATTACAGTACAAATCCGCTGCAATGGAGCAGCTCTAATGCTATTAAATTAAAGATGATGTACCACAAAGCAAAAAAATGAACAGTGAAAGTAACAAAAACTTGTAAAATAAATTTTAATGGGCATAATTAAGTGTGAAAATAACCGAAGAATATACAGTCAAACCAAAAATTATTCAGAGACCAGATATAATTTTTGATATTTTTTTTACTAGTGGGTGCAGGACACTATAGTTCATTTATGTAAGTGAGGATAGCAAAATAAAGTAAACTGTGACAAATCATACCCAAAAATTCTTCATACAGTGGACTACCAGATAAAATTGATACAAATTTTGGTCCAAAAATTTTCAGACCGAGTCTGGGGAAAAAATGAAGTTGAGGTTTGCATGAACCTGGATGACAACATGCCCAGGAGACTACAGGCATCCCAAACGATAATGTTTTGATTTGTCATGTTTATGTTGCTGTGTTTAGTTATACGGAATGGATCAGTGTACTGTAGTAGATATATGCAGTCAGCAGGCGTTTTTTTTGGCATCTCCATGTGGTCCTTTTCGGTATCGCAAATTGGCTTCTCTAAAATGTAAAAAAGCTCTTTGCTGTTGCACTGTACACATAATATAAATGTCGCTCATTATCAATTACTCCACCGGCCTCGCTCCGTTCCCACGGCTCTCGGCCCCGCCCCCACTCGTCACAACTATAAAAAGTGAGGGATTGGACAAAGACCTGAAAAGACCTTTTTTTTTATTGTGCCATTGTTTTTCCAAAAAGTGCAAACGTGCAACATCATACATATATATATAGAGAGAGAGAGAGAGAGAGAGAGAGAGAGTATAATAAAAATCTAAATCAAAGTTTACCTGAAGGCTTTTTTTTTATTGTGCCATTGTTTTTCCAAAAAGTGCAAACGTGCAACATGAGGTAGGCCTGTATGAATTAAATTAAATACTGCGTGTTTGAGTAGGCCAGTGGTTCCTAAACTTTTTCTGCCGGGCCCCCCTTTTATTGAGAAACAAAAATGTTAATCGATTGACAGCCCTAATATATATATATATACATACATATATATATAGAGAGAGAGAGAGAGAGAGAGAGAGAGAGTATAATAAAAATCTAAATCAAAGTTTACCTGAAGGCTACATTAGGGGTGGGCGATATGAGCTAAAATTCATATCACGATATTTTACACTGTCCAGGTGATATCGATATTATATTTCGATATGGGAAAAAAATTACAGGCAAAATATTTTAACCTTATACAACTATTGTGACGAGTGGGGGCGGGGCCGAGAGCCGTGGGACTCGAGACCGGTGAGTGGTGCAGGCATTTATTTATTAAAAATACAGTAAACACTGTAATATTGTGAAATTTTGTCAATTTAAATTATGTATTTGAATGTTTTAACATATAGGCTACTGTATTCCTGTAATCAAAGCTGAATTTTCAGCATGATTACTCCAGTCTCCAGTGTCACATGATCCTTCAGAAATTATTCTAATATGCTGATTGGCTGCTCAGTAACCATTTCTGATTATTGTCAATGTTGTAATCATTTGTGTTGCTTAGTATTTTTGAGGAAACTATTTTTTTCACGATTCTTTTATGACTATTTGAAATTGTTCTTTGTTTACACATGTCAGTCAGTTGCAGTAAACTTAAGATGTCTGTACTGAAGGATTTATGAAGGATTTATTTGACAAGATGTGCAGTTTGGTATTAATTAGCTGCTGAAACAGAAACCCACAAGTTCTCACCTCTTGTTGGTATAACTTTTGAACATTTTATTTTGTCAAAACCAAATAATCTGCAAATGAGGCTTAACACTAGAACCGCCACGGGGTAAATTTTATCCATGGCTGTTTTTCAAATGTACATAACAGATTTAAAATAACACATTCAATTCTCCCAGTCATTGACTTTTACTAAAATTATGTAAGTTACAATCCAATGTTGTAAAAAAATATTTAGATAAAACCAGATCAAACAACAGGGCATTTATACCTATAAGCGCTAGCAGGTCAAATTTACCCACCTATATATTGCATGTATTTTTCGCGCTGTCATTTTCTTGCCGCTTATGTTTTAAGTTAAAACATTAACTAAATCAGTGAGTGAAAGGCGTTGCCTAGAAATGTACAATGTTAAAACTTTTAACATTGTACATTTCTAGGCAACGCCTTTCACTCACTGATTTAGTGGTTATCAGTTTCATAAGTAAAATCAAAATGACTAAAAAAAAGGTGATTTATGGAAGGTAGGTAGGCTAGAAACACTAAATGCCATGAGTGATGGAGAGTCTGATGCTAAGTTATGTGTCCTGGGTCGGCTCAGCATCTGACGGCTCATCTGACAATGATAGATATCATATTTACATGTTTTAGCCTAATGTTACTCTAATTGGTCAAACTTTGGTTTAATTATTTAATTTTTGTCTTGCCATATCGTATATTGTTCGC